GCTCTGAGGCTTTAAATGTTGTAGATCTGCTTAATGATTAATAAAAAAAATTAAACTGAAATGTTTTGTATTCATTTGTTTTCCKGCTGCAGAAACTCTTAACTCGGTTTCCAGCTGATAAATAAATAAAACAACTTTTATTTTGAGCGTCTCCATGTGAGCGGCCGGTGCTGCAGCGCCCTCTGGTGGCGGGAAGAAGAACTGCAGTTTGAAGCTTTCAGCTCCAGTTTCTGGGCTCAGGACGGGTTTCAGAGCAGAAAACTTCAGATTTAAYGTCAGAATTAGGTTTAAAATTTATGTTAAAATTTATTTTATCAGATTCATACGAGTTTTTATCTGAACGCTGATGTAAAAAATAACGATGAGACGTAGCAGCTGCTTAGGCTGTTTGTCCCATTGTGTTGTTTTCAGCAGCTAAAGAGTGTGTCTGTGTGTGTGTGTTTATGACTAACACACACACACTCAGTTATTTTTAGTCTAAAGTCAACACAGCTCCACTCCTAATGACAGCAGGATTCCTTTCTGCTCTGAAGCCTCGCTCTGTTTTCACCCTGAAAATAAAAAAATAAAACCTCAAAACAAAATGAAGCAAAACTGTAAAAATAAAGACGATGCTGCAGTTTGATATTTACCAACGTAAAGACAAAAGTCAGGATGTTTGAGTTTATAAAAGTGAGCCACAGCAGAACCTTCTGTCTGTTGATGGCAGCGAGGACAACCGGGGGTCTGGTTTGTCTCAAACAGGTTTGGAGTCCTGATCCAGGAGATGGTTCTYAGTGTCTGACGTCAGGACTGAATCTGGAGCTTCAGGCTGACAGAACCTTTAGGTTTATTTTAGAAAACAGTTATCAAACACATCAGGGACAAATGATGGGGTAACTGGACCGAGGGGTCTGGTTGAGGGGCTCAGACTTTGAAAGGGGTCCTCAGAATCTCAAATAGTCCTCACAGCTTTATTTTTAAGGAGTTTCTCCAATCAGGAGGGTCCTGACCACCTGAACTCTCATGGGTATGGTGCAGTGTGAGGGCCAAAATTAAGACTGTTGCTCAACCAGCAGTTGCTACGCACAGGCTAGCAACTAGCATGGACAATCTGATGTTAGCATTGGAGAGGCTAGCAACTAGCATGGACAATCTGATGTTAGCATTGGAGAGGCTAGCAACTAGCATGGACAATCTGATGTTAGCATTGGAGAGGCTAGCAACTAGCATGGACAATCTGATGTTAGCATTGGAGAGGCTAGTGACTAGCATGTATAAGCTTGTGTTAGCATCAGAGAGGCTAGTGACTAGCATGGATTAGCTTGTGTTAGCATCGGAGAGGCTAGTGACTAGCATGGATAAGCTTGTGTTAGCATCGGAGAGGCTAGTGACTAGCATGGATAAGCTGGCGTTAGCACTGTAGAGGCTAGCGACTAGCATGGATAAGCTTGTGTTAGCACTGGAGAGACTAGCGACTGACATGGATAAGCTTGTGTTAGCACTGGAGAGACTAGCGACTGACATGGATAAGCTT